ACATAACGCTCCCAGCCCTTCCAATTGCCGCTTGACTATCGCAATGTATGCATATTGGTGCCAACGGTTTGGGCCAAAATGGAATATCTTCCAAGAAATTCCGGAGCCATTCAGCTTCTTCGCCGGCTTTATCTAAGGTTATGAATTCAGCCTCCATTGTAGAGCGGGCAATACAAGTTTGTTTGGAAGACATCCAAGATACCGCTCCTCCACTAATAGTGAATACATGTCCACTTGTGGACTTGGAATCAGTTGATCCGGTGATCCAATTTTCATTACAGTATCCCTCAATGACCGCAGGATATTTACTGTAGTGCAAAGCAAAGTCCTGGGTATGTATAAAATACCCCAAAACTCGTTTCATGGCCATCCAATGAGATTGACCTGGATTGCTCTATATCGACTCAATTTACTTATAGCACAAGCTATATCTGGTCGTGTACAATTCACAATGTACATTAAGCAACCCAACACACGAGCATAATCCAATTGTGATATGCTTTGGCCTTTGTTCTTTGCTAATGCAAGATTCACGTCAATTGGAGTCTTTGCAATTTAAAACCCAAGTGCTTGAATTTTTCAAGTACTGTCTTAATACAATGAGATTGTGACAACGCCGGACCTTGAGAAGTCCTATGGATCTTAATTCCCAGAATTAAATCAGCAACTCCCAAGTCTTTCATATCAAACTTGCTAGTTAGCATACGCTTAGTAGCATTTATGTTGGCAATGTCATTACTCATTATGAGCATATCATCCACATATAAGCAAACAATGACTATGTGATTTGGAACATTTTTAATGTACACACATTTATCACATTCATTTATCTTAAATCCATTTGACAATATTGTTTGGTCAAATTTCGCATGCCATTATTTGGGTGCTTGTTTTAGTCCGTAAAGGGACTTAACAAGTCTACAGACCTTCCTTTCTTTACCTGGAACCACAAACCCTTCAGGTTGTTCCATGTAAATTTCTTCCTCCAACTCTCCATTTAAGAAGGCCGTCTTAACATCCATTTGATGAATTTCAAGACCATAAACTGCAGCTAACGCTACTAACGTTCGTATGGACGTAATTCTTGTAACTGGAGAGTATGTATCAAAATAGTCAAGACCTTCTCGTTGTCTATACCCTTTGACCACAAGTCTTGCCTTATACTTGTCAATAGTGCCATCATCTTTCATTTTCCTCTTAAAGATCCATTTAGAACCCAACGGTTTATTTCCAGGAGGAAGATCAACCAATTCCCATGTATGGTTGTTCAGTATGGATTCTATTTCACTATTGACCGCCTCTTTCCATAACAATGATTCCGAAGAAGACATAGCTTCTTTAAATGTTTGAGGCTCATTTTCCAATAAGAAAGTCACAAAATCTGGTCCAAATGAAGTAGACGTTCTTTGACGTTTACTACGTCTTGGATCCTCTTGGTTAAGTGTACTTTCTTTTGTTTCTTCCCGGGGTCGTTTAGATCCTTCACCAATCGACTCACATTCCTTTTTATACGGATATATATTTTCAAAGAACTCAGCATTATCTGATTCTATAACCGTATTATTATGAATGTCGGGATTTTCTGATTTATGAACCAGAAATCGATATGCTTTACTATTAGTCGCATATCCTATGAAAACACAATCAACGGTTTTCGGTCCTATTTTTACCCTTTTGGGTTTAGGAACTTGCACTTTTGCCAAACACCCCCACACTTTAAAATAATTCAAGTTGGGCTTCCTTCCTTTCCATTTTTCATATGGAATGGATTGTGTTTTGCTATGGGGTACTCGATTTAGTATTCGGCTAGCCGTAAGAATGGCTTCCCCCCACAAGTTCTGTGGCAAACCAGAACTTATCAATAATGCGTTCATCATCTCCTTTAATGAACGATTCTTTCTTTCTGCAATCCCATTGGATTGGGGCGTGTAAGGGGCCGTTGTTTGATGAATAATTCCATATTCTAAACATATTTGTTCAAAAGGAGATTCATATTCACCACCCCTATCACTTCTTATCATTTTGATTTTCTTATTAAGTTGCGTTTCAACTTCATTTTTGTATTGCTTGAATGCGTCTATTGCTTCATCTTTACTATTAAGTAAGTAAACATAGCAATATCGAGTACTATCGTCAATAAAAGTTATGAAATACTTTTTTCCACCGCGAGATGGTATTGACTTCATGTCACAAATATCTGTGTGAATTAAGTCTAAAGGATTTGAATTCCTTTCAACCGATTTATAAGGATGTTTAACATACTTAGATTCCACACATACTTGACATTTTGATTTGTCACATTCAAACTTGGGCAATACTTCCAAATTAATCATTTTCCGTAAGGTTTTATAATTGACATGACCCAAACGTATATGCCATAATTCATTTGACTCAAGTAAGTAAGACGAAGCTGAAATTTTATTATTATTTTCAACAACCATTACATTCAGCTTGAAAAGGCCCTCAGTGAGGTAACCTTTTCCTACAAACATTTCATTCTTACTTATTACAACCTTATCGCAAACAAAAATACATTTTAAACCATTCTTAACAAGAAGTCCAGTAGAGACTAAATTCTTCCTAATCTCGGGAACATGAAGGACGTTGTTCAAAGTCACCACTTTGCCGGAAGTCATTTTGAGAAATATCTTCCCACATCCTTCAATCTTCGCCTTTGAAGCATTTCCCATAGAAATCGTCTCATCGGGTCCAACAGGAGCATAAGTAGCAAAAGCTTCTCTAACAGCACAAACATGGCGAGTGGCTCCAGAATCAATCCACCACTCTTTAGGATTGCCCACCAAGTTGCATTCAGAAAGCATGGCACATAAATCATCAACACCATCATGCTTTTTAACCATGTTTGCTTGACCCTTCTTCTTGTCTTTCTTCGGAGCACGACACTCCGTAGATTTGTGTCCGGTTTTTCCACAGTTGTAGCAGTTTCCACTGAACCGCTTCTTGCTTGGGTTGTATTTCGGTCCAGAAGCCTTCTTCCTCTTTTTGTTCTCTTCAACAATATTTGCTCCCATTATTGTTGAGTTTCCACGGCCTCTCTTTTCAGCAGCTTTGTTGTCCTCTTCGATTCTCAACCGAACAATGAGATCTTCAAGGGACATCTCCTTGCGTTTGTGTTTCAAGTAGTTTTTGAAGTCCTTCCACAAAGGAGGCAACTTCTCAATCATCGCTGCTACTTGGAATGCTTCATTGATGACAAGACCTTCAATGAAATTTCTGTTAGTAAAAATACTAAGATTACTACTTTCAACATCAATATTAATTTGATTTATACTTTCAGCAAGGAGATCGTGAATAATCACTTGCAATTCCTGGACTTGGGTAATAACAGACTTGCTATCTACCATTTTGTAGTCCAAAAACTTTGCAGCAACAAACTTTTTCAACCCAGCATCTTCGATTTTGTATTTCTTTTCAAGCGCAGTCCACAGTTCCTTTGACGTTTCCACGCCACTGTAGACATTATACAAAGCATCCTTCAGCCCGCTTAGAATATAATTCTTGCACAAAAAATCTAAATGCTTCCACGCCTCAATCACGAGAAAGCGTTCAGTTTCTGGAGTTTCATCGGACAGCACAAGAACATCTTCCTTGATGAACTTCTGGAGACTTAGAGTAGTAAAATAGAAGAACATCTTTTGCTGCCAGCGCTTGAAATCAATCCCGGAAAGTTTTTCAGGTTTCTCCGCCGGTGCCAATGCTGCCGGTGTCGTTCGGCTTGTTGAGGCATTGGCAGTCACCATTGGAACATCTTGGTTCTCATTCTTATTAGTCAGTTCTGTAAAAGAATGACACAAGCGTTAAAATCACGTAAATTTTAACCACAAAGGTTTTACTCTCCAGAAACAGTAAATACAAATACAGAAAATATATTAAATTCCTTAAGCTTGTTAATATACTGTATTTGTAAAAGAATTCCGGAAATATAAATGAATATAAACATAATTTCTGAACATAAACAGAAATGACAGAAAACCAATTCGAGCCCACTGAATTCACAGTGTTTCCTTAAGGAATTTAATCCCCTCCTCGGAAGCAAATCACACCAATCGATCATTTGACCGAAGCCGAAGCCGAAGCCGAAGCCGAAGCCGAAGCCAAGCCGAGCGAGCGACGACGACGACAGCGCGAGGTTTGCCTTCTTCTCAACTCTTTAAGAGCTAGAAGAAGAGCAATTGCTTATATACCCATAAAAAACCTCTTCCTCTTCCAATATGGGACAATGTCCATTTACCAAGGAGGGAAACTTAAAATTTCACTCAAAAATTTCATTTCCCTCCATTTCCCATTCACCCTCTTTTAAGTATTTAATATATTAATTAAATACATAAAAAAAAAAGACCAACACTTTTCTCATCACTAGCAGATCTTCATGTGCCAACGTTTCAACCTTAAACTTATTAAGTTTCTCTAACAGTACGAAAAACATCGATCCCCTGGGTTTTCTAGTTGTAGGAATATGCCGTTGCAGTCGTCGGATGCGGGAGCCGGAGCAATTTCTGAAGTGGGCTTTGCACAAATCCGGTGGAAGGAGGAGGAGATCGAAAATTTTAATGGGATGGGATAAGAGAATGGGATGTATCAAAGTAGAGAGAGAAAGAAAATAGTGTAACTGATTAGCGTATTTAGTGGCTTAGGGCTAGGAGGTAACCAAAATTAAATATTTTGCTATAAACTTTAAAAGGTATCTATGGAATATAATTTTTTCAAATGGTATTTATTTAAAATAAATAAGGTGTTAACCTTTGCTATAGGAGGTAAAAATTCCTTTTCTATTTATATTAAATATGGGTCGGGCCTGATATTTACCCATTTTTGCATTATCCGTTTTCGACATGTCCATATCCGACCCGCTCGTATGTCACCTCTAGCTATATATATATATATATATATATATAATATATATATATATATATATATATATATATATATATATATATATAGGGTAGAATATTCTAATAAACCATACTTACAAATAGTAAACCATGCAAAAAATTGGAACTAGACTTGTAGTCTAAGTAGTTGCAACTTCACTAGTGCTACAGTGGTGTGGAATCCAGAATTCACAGAGCTTTCCTCTAAAGGAGACACAATAGCTAAGAAAAAGGACTTAAAAATGTGTTACAAAATCATAAGAATAATTGAGTGAAGGATTTTTCCTTTCCAAGAATGACCTATTTGTATGCCTATTTTTGTTGCAAATCCACTATAAACTGACTAATACAAGGAATAAGCAGGGGACAAAAATAGGAAGAAAGCTAATCTATTCGAAAGGTCTGGACTTTAGTCGAGCTCTTCGTTCAATGCACAATGATCCGACAGAATCCAATGTCGAAAGCAGCAGCAGAATGATCGCTAAAAGGGGCTAACACTTCGAGCCAACTTCAACATGAACTCGGGTACAAGGCGTTTTCTTGGAGTCGAATTTGCTCTGATGGTTTCCGAGTTATCACCATGAATCATCGTAATTAGATCATTTAACATGTCGTCTATTCCACCTCTCATTGGATCCTAAATGTTAGCACAGCCAATAATCAGAAAAAATCAAACACGAACAAGGAAATCATTAACGTGTGCATGATTTATTTATTTTTTGCTTTAGAGAAGAAACAAAACGAGGCATCAATTACCTGAAGAAACAAATCTGTATGTGTTTTTCCTTCATATAGGATACATTCAGCTTTGACACCGAGAGCTTTAAGAGTATCAGCAAAACTCTTGCTGGATTAAGAGAAGTACGTTAGTAGACTGCACAGACGATATTCAGATCTACAATACATTTAAGTACATGACATTCCAAAATAAAGTCCTCCGAATTTAAGGTCAAATGTCCTCTGTTCACCTCATTTCATTAGGAAATAAAAATGACATCAATGATAAAGAGGACATAGATGAGATACGTTCCTGCTAATACTTTTAGCAGATATGTTAAACTGCACCACTAGCTATGTCATTGATCCAAATTGAGATAAAAAAAGCATACATAATCTTTTAACACGTTATTGTTATGACATATCCAACTATTTTGGACCTTGTGTAGATCATCTTATGGGCTACGTTTCCATAATACATGCAGCCACAATGTTCCACAATTAAGTAACCAGTTTCACTTTGCTCAGTTGTTATTCATATCTATCGAACAGCTTATATCCTAGTGACATAAGCTGGCTGCATTCACCAGAAATGCCTCTCAAACGGAAATTTTACAGATTAAGGTGAGAGCAATCAAGATCATCTATCTCTATACTATGTTATCTTGGTTCTGCCTGTGCCTTGCACTGTTGCAATAGTAGGTTTTCAAAGAACTATCTGACATATGATGGGTAGAGGGCGAGAGACAAACGGGAAAAGCTCATGAGAATTGGAGAGAGAGGGGTTGACGGTGGCAGGAAATGAGGGAAGCCAGGTGTTCACAGTGTAAGTTACAATGATATTAAGGCTCTGGTATCAAATGCCGCTTATAACTATGATATATTTTTCTTGAGGTAAATCGTTCGAAAATCTTCACCAGTCAAATTAGTCAAACGAAATTGAAACTCTTTACATTGAGTGCTTGGCTCACTTGGTGAGAGGGGAGGTAAATGGGAATGAAGATTCGTTTCTTCCCTTAGCACTAGTATAATACTTAGAAATCGAAAGAATTATCATTTTCCATCTAATGAAGAAGATCAGAAATCTATTCCGGAGGGATTTCAGAACCCGTGCAGATTTACTCTCTGGTGGCAAGGGATGGTCGCCTTCTGACCTTTCCAAGCCAAAGTTTTTCCTTAGTTTGGTTTCTTTTTCTTATCTTTTTCTTTTTGGAGAGTGTGGAGGGGAGTCAGAGCTGAATATCTAGGTTAGATAAAATTCAATTCAACTGACTACACCGAGCACAAAAAATTATCCGTTCTTCCAAAAAACCCGCTCATAATGAAATTGAAACTAAAGCATAAAAGTTACAATTAAAAAGGGGAAAATATGGCTGAATAATATGTGGTGCAGTTATAGCAACAATAACAAAAGTGGATAAAGAGGAGGTACAGACCTGGAATTACACGGAATGGAATAATCTGCAGTACCATGGAAAAGGACAATAGGAGGAAGGAGAGAAAGAGCATTTTTAACGTTTGGGTCCTGTGCCATCACTTCAGGTGAGTATCGTCGCAGACCTTGTTCCCCTTCCATTATGCTGTGCACGTTAAAAGAAGGATCAGTGATATATACTGGAAAATTTTAATAGCAGCAAGCATTCGTATATGCATTAACATAGTAGCAGAAGTCAGTAATATACCTTAGAAAAATTGAACGGTACAAACCTCGGCTATGGAAGTGATCAACAAGGTTAAGGAAATTATACCTATTCAGGTGTTAAAAAGGAGGTATTAGTTCCATCATTGCTACAACCCAATTCAAGAAAAAAAATATACTTCATTAACTTTTTGCCAGTGACCTCATTATGCAATTTACAGTTTTTGATTCTATAGCGACAATTGCTAAGTACTTCATGCTTTCTAAGGAAACAAGTAAAAATTTGAGCTCCAAAAGAAACAAACAATATTTTCAGCATCTAAATAAGAAAGATAAATTCACGCCTGTTGTCTACTGGGCTATAATTTTTTCTGTCTTATTAAGCTTGTATATCATTCAAATATAAAAAAGAAAGCTGGATTCAGCTCAATTTAGATTCTAATTTCATCTGGCAATTTAAAGATTTGGAAAAGACCTAATGGAAGAAGTGTCAAAGACTCCAAGCCTTGTATTCATGGGAACATGAACTAGAACTTACCCGCCCGATAGACCAAAATACGCCTTAATTTGGGAGACACTCCAAGAATCTCTCTGTTCCTCACTGGCTTCCTTGATTGCCTGATCCAAAAGAGCGCAAGAAGCGATATGTGCACCAGCTGATTGTCCCATTAAGTAAATTCTAAAAGCATAATAAACCACAATATTTCATTGATAATCAAAGGGAATTATTGATGAAAAACTATAAGGAGAAAGACAACTCAGCTACCTGTTAGGATCACCTCCATATTCGGCAATCTTGTTGCAAACAAAGGAGATACCTTGAGAAGCATCCTTAACCATGTCACTAATTGTTCCCTGAGGAAAATTTCTGCAACCAATTATTGTAATGCCTTTAGATATCAAAATTGACTAGTGGTTGCATGCAAGTGCAACAAAAGCGTGCATCTAATGACCCAACGTATAGTATATGCAAGGTGTGAGAAACAACGGATGCGTTGGAAATTTTATTGCAATTTGGTAATTTAATATTTCCCTATAATATCGGCTGGCTCTTTTTGAATGAGTTGGAAATAATATTGCAAGAAAGCTTCTTCTTTTTTCCAGATAATGCGTGCATCATGTAGTAATAAAAAAAGACCATTGCTTTCCTGCGTAAATAACAAATAAAAAACTGTGTAACTCGTAAATGTGGTGCAAGAAACAGAGAGCATGAATTCCTTAATTCATACATCTAAATGGTCCATCGGGCAAAAGCACATTAAGCCCGAAAAACACCCAGTTCCCAATAAGCACTAATTTTGCTCGGATTTAAAAAAAGATCACCTGTAATCAATGCATGCCACAATAATGTCTCTTTCTGACAACTGTTGTCCAAGAAGAGAACCCCAAGCTTTGTAACTGTAAAGCAAAGAAGAAAGTATAACTAAGAGCAAAATCTCATTAAACCGTCACTGACTCGCTTAAACAAGAAAATCAAGAAAAACTATTTTAACCTAGATTACAGCGTAAGGGCATAAGTTTCTACTAATACAACCATGCAAAATAGTAAGCAGTAAAGGGCTTCCCGCTATGCACAGGGTCCGGGGAAGGGCCTGACCACAAGGGTCTATCGTACGCAGCCTTACCATGCATTTCTACAATAGGCTGTTTCCACGGCTCGAACCCGTGACCTCCTGGTCACATGGCAGCAACTTTACTAGTTACGCCAAGGTAAGCAGTAGGAATAATAATACTCAAATCATGCTGAGAAAGCTAATAGGTCTGCTTTCGATGCTTATAACACCAATGATTTAAGATAAATGCAACAGTTTCCACACTTAGCGAACAGGTAGAAGCTGCAGCTGATATTATCTCAGACTAGATTTTGCAGCAAAGGATATTCTTCAGTTACTAGAAGGATAAATGGACGTAATTGAAGGAAATGACTTAGCTACGCACCCAATAATCCATGCTCCACCTGTTACAAATGCAACAACTGGCTTTGGCCCGTTCATGTTTTTCGGCAAGTACAGATCAAGCCTGCACCATGAGACTTTAACCAGGTATGAAGACATAAAAGTATGCTCAAGCATTCTATGAAAATAAGGACTAAATTCCATACCCTATTACCTATTTCTCGGTTGATCACCATAAAAAATGCCTCTACGCACTTGACTGGAATTGAAATAGTAATAGCCAACTGCATCAGACAAGCGTGATTATTTAAGGACTTTATATTCTAAACTATAAGGAGGGGCAAAAGAAGAAAGGAAGAAAAAGAAAACTAGGAAAATGGGAAGGACGATATCCAGAAGATAACATGTTACATATGATCAGATGAAGTCATCAAGGTATTTAAAGTCGGGTGTTAAGACAAGATATTCTAGACGTTCCAAACCTTGAATAAAACCAGGTATAAGTAGCACAGCATAACAGCCAAGGGCAAGAAACCTGACGATCCATCTGTAGCCTACCCTGAATACAAATAGATGACCAGAAAACATTTAGGAAGTGCCTTTTCATATACACTTAGTAATGACATTAAGATTTGAGGGGTGAATATATCTCTAAGGATCTTAATTTCAAAAGAAAAATATAGATAATTCTGCAAGATTTTGATTTCTGCTTTTGTTCAAAGTTCAACTTATTCTCATTCATGGATAGCTAGTACGGACTACGTTCAACACCCAATAGCTAGTCATTCACTACCGAAGAGTACAATGTCATAAAAAATTTCCAATTGCAACAAAAAAAATGAAACTTTCACTTCAGGAGAAAACAAAAAATATATGTAGGAAGTGCAAGCAATCATTATAATACAACAGTAAGCCGCTTGGGCTGCCATAACCGTGGTATGATGCCATTGATGTGCACAGAGCCCATACTTGTTTACCCTAACAATGGATGAGCTTACCAACGCAATAAAAGATAGGGTCACATGGGGTATGCTATTTGCAGATGAATTTTTTTTAATTGACGAAATTAGCTAGGTGAGGGTTTTAGGATAAGTAGAACTAAGACTGACTATATGGCTGCAAAATTTAACCAACATAAGAAGAGTAAAGTTGAGTTGAGGTAAGATCAGACGGTAAGCAATTCAGATATTTAGACTTGATATTCCAAGAAAATGATGTGAGATATTAAGACATAAGACATACAATCATAATAGGATAGTTGAAACGGAAATGTTCTAAAGGAGCGTTATGCAATAGAAGGCCACCTAACAAAGTTAAGACAATTTATACAGAAGTGTCAAATAGAACTTTGTTCAGGGACATGCAGCCATGCAGGCCATGGTGTTTACATCGTATTTTAAGTAGAGGACCATAATGCTCCATTCTTGGGGTTGATTTCCCAATCAAAATTCAGTTCCATCTCACACAAGTTGACATAACCAATTTGAAGGGTTCCAGTGTAGTCATCTAAAGATTGGAGAAGAAAGGGACAGAAGTTTTATAAACATCTTGGACCTCGGAGCAGTAATATGAGACTTGGCTAGGAGGCAGAGAAAGGGTTTTTGCAATTTGCAATGACACAAACGGTATTGACAAGCTCAAAAGTTTAGAATATTCAATGAGTTAACAAGAGTATTGCAATGACATTGATTGGCTAGCTAAAAAGGTTAATATTAAAAGAGTGCTACGCATTCTAAAAGCTCCTCATGAAAGGGTAGGGTGAAATGAAACATTTGGATGATAAACAATCAAGTGGTTTCTTCATAACAAGTGCTAAAGCTGAGTTTAAGTAGTCTAGTAAAATAGCGGTACAGAAGAGCAACAATAAAGAAAATCCAAAATGTTGCTGTGTAGGGTAAAAATTGATGGGGTGGAGCCTTCGGATAGCTGAATCAATCTAGCAGATAAGGGCACAGAGAGAAAGCATAGTTTTAACTTGACCATCTAAGATGGAGCCAGATCTCTAGCGGGATGACTTGGACATGCTGATCTACAAGACGATAATCTGATATGCATAACTCTTTTATATTGATGGAGGACAGAAGAAAACCAGTAAATGCATTTTCTCCTCTCCCAAAGTTTGGTTGGCAGGGAGAGAATTCATTTCTAGGAGGCTTGCAGGCAAAGCTTATTCCTTCCACTTCAGTTCCAACTAGTCATTTTTACCAAGCGGCTTCTTGATTAGGCCAGCTGAATGGCCAAACCACCAAATATGCGTGGCTAGAAACTTATCTTCAATCATGAGAAGTGCAGGTGAACAACATAATCTTACTGCCATTTATGTGTCTGCTCCAGTCCTCAAGTTAACATTTCACTTCTCATTCATATTATGCTACTTCCCATAACACATTAAACTACATGAAAGGTGAAGTAAGGTGGTGCACATATCTATTCGTCAGAAAACATATCCCAACTAATGCTTTCTCCATATCTAACATCTGAAGTACGATTGATTGTAAACACTATCAGAAAACATACTCCCAACTAATGTTGTCTCCATAGCTGGCAAAACCATGGTTACATATGCTAGACCACTCCAGTAAGCATTCGCCCGCCGGGCTCAGTTTGGGCTTTCCAGTCTCATTCCCTTTAATTGCATGAGATAACAAAAACAAGATATCCAGTAGGAAGGCAATGACGGTGAGGGAAAGGCAAGTAGTCCGAAGATAGTTCGATAGCATAATTATTTCTATACTTATCTGTTAGAAAGACATATTTTGAGCTGGTATGATCTTTCAGAAACATGTGCAACACTACATTTTCACAATTGAAACTACTACCCTGTTGTCTTACGGACAAAATAATGTTTCCTAGTCTATAAAGTAAGGATTATAGTTCAGTTGGCTATCTTACTTTAAATATCTTCTTACAAGTAAATTTCTTCAAATGTAGAAAAAGGAAGATTTTTTTACTTGGCTCATGAAGCATACTCAAAATGTGGTTGAAAAGAGCTTGCCTAAGTTAAAGTTGGCTAGGTAGCAACTAGCAATATCCAGTTCCATTCCATGAACCGACAGATCCACATATTAGGCAACATTTGGCCAAATCTATTCCCTTAATAGGTTCACATAAAAGTCATAAAACATCAATCCTAATCCAATTTCTTTCTGTTTCTTTCAACCAAGAACTGAGAGACTAATTGTGTTAACAGAAAGATACAAACATACATAGTAATGCCAATCACATCATCACCACAATCTAAGACATCAAAATAAGGGGAAAAGGATCAAATTTCAGAACTTTCAAGCCTTTCCAAGAAGACAAACCAAAATAATAAACAAATTCAAACATGTAAACAACAAAACTATTATTCCCTTTATCCGAATTCATGTTATGCACTTTCCTTTTTAGTCTTGTCCAAACAATGACACTTTTCTATTTTTACCCTTAATGAGATAATTTGTAGCTACACAAATACCTGTAACCAGTGGCGGAGCCACATTCAACCAAGGTCGCCAGAAAATTACCCTGTATTGCTAGATAATTTTTTTGATTTATGTGTACTACTATACGTTAATCCCCCTTGACTTTTCGGTGTATCTAATTTAAATATTTTGACACCATTTGGTGAAAATTCTGGTTCCGCCACCGCCTATAACTTCTTTTACACCATAAGTTTCAAATGTCTTTTGTTCTTTCTTAAACTCTATGCTCAATCAAAGTGCAACATATAAAATAGGACGGAGGGAGCATTACTCAAATCTAGCTAAAAAAGTATATTACCCGAGATATCGCAAGAGGGTAAAGCTAAGCTTAGTAACAATAAAAGTATTAGAAGCAGCCCTTTCCATATCTTGGCTACAACCTTCAACAGCTACTGAACAAAGGGAGTTTTCACTTGCTATACGTCTCCTCCTTTGTTGCTGCTTAAGCAAATTTGAAGAAGAAGAAGAAGATGATGAAGTGTAACTAAAGGTTCTAGACAAAAGGGGTTTTTTCTCAATCTTAGAATCATCATTTTCTTGAACAACAAGTAACATTGTGTCAGCAGTAGCTGAAGATGATGTTGGGATCATATTTGATGAATTGGGGTTAGAAATAGGAAGAAGGTTTTGTGACTGCATTGAGATAAAACAAGAAAAAAATATTAAAAGATTTGATTTTGATTATAAAATTGTGAGAAAACAAGAACAAACAAAGTTATCTTGGAAGAAAAAAGATTTGATTTTTAAAACAAGAAAACAATGTTATCTTGGAGAAAAATGAGTTGGGTTTTTGTTGGGTTGTTCTGTAAATATGATGAGAAGAGAGAAAAGGAAGATGGATCAAGATTCTCTTATCTTCTTGAATTATTGATTCAATAAGATTTGAGAAAATTGTGTGTTCTGTTTTGACAGTTTGGAATTTCAGAGGATGGAGAAGAAGAGGAAGAAACAATGGTGGGGCCAAGTTGAAAGGTGGGCCATGACTAGATTGGTTCCACGTGTTGTGTTTTCATATGTAGTTGTTTTTTTTTTCTTTTCCCGGAGATGTTGAAATTGGTTCTTTTCTTTTTTATAATAGTGGCTATTTTACAAAGTATGAATAGTCATATATTTATGAATACAGCCAAGACGAAATACAAGTAGCGTATTATTTGTTCGCGCAACATATAAAAATACAAAAAAATTGAATTACTCAAGAATCCTAATTATTAAGAGTTTGTTGATCACTTGTTTGAGTTCAAAATAATTTATCTTTTATTTATGAATTTGCTATAAAATTTAAAGATAGCTACGAATGGTATTCTTTTGAAAGTATAGCCACGAATGGTAACAACAATTGATATATTTGATGGGTCGCATAATTTTTTCTTTACAAATACAATTAATTTTGTCTATGAAAAATTGGACAAATAAGAAAAATCACCTTTAGATTAGAATTTTGTCTTTAAACGCCAAAACCTTGGTGTAATGGGTCCTTTTTCATTCTTACTATCTTTTCTTGATAAGGCTTTCATTTTAAGGATTTCCTTTTCCATTTAATGAACTTTGTTGGTGAATGGTGATGCACCAAGCCACCAATCATGTCCGCTGTCTTGATTTCTCTATCAATAAATAATATATTTTGATAAAAAAATCTTGAATTTTTATAAATAATGTCCTAACACAAATTGTAGACTTTTTCTACTAATAAAGCTCAATAAAAACAAAGAGACCGCAAGGAGGTGGGAGACCTAGGATCAATTTTCCTAACCAGGAGCCTCATCAATCAGAAGTCAGAACTCGTGGCACTAGATATGATTTACATCTTTTGTATGGTTTGCGAGCTACTTCAATATTTGGATTTGAAAATTTTAGATTCTCGTTTTTATAGATTTTTTTATTTTTGTTCAAACCATTTTTTACTTTTTTTTTTTTATCTTTTCGTTTACCAATTAATTTTATGCTATGTAAGAATTTTGGAGATAATAGTGGAAGCTTCTGGTTGGCAAGAAACTGTCCAATACAAGTTGAAAGTTGATTTTAGCTTTTCCACTGGATGCCAATTGGCACGTAATCATTCTAGTGGGCAACTGGCTAGCCATCTATATTAGTAAAAATTAAAGAACACTAATCATAAACACGCATCATATCATGTTCATATTATACTATATTATAAGTGTGAAGCCTTAAAGTCAAAATTAAATTATTAAAATGTCCATCAAAAATTGAGTGACTATTTTACGCTTCACTTGAAGATTACTCATGCAGTAATATTTTGTATACAAAATTAAATTTATTTTCCAATAATTGGTAAAATAAATAGTACAAATACAAAAGTAAAGCTGAATTCAATTCATGCAGCCAATTCATTTCTTTATAATTGTGACGTTTGGATTATATATGTGGGTTTCATGTTTCTAAAGGTATTTCCGTTGAGGCTTGACATATCTTCAATTCATATTGCCTATTCAATTCCCTAAAATTGTTTCATCTTTCACTACTTATTCTTTATATTTTATCTATGGCATTAAAATGTTCATTTAATATTTGTTCTTTTCACCTTCATAACAGTAATTATATATTCATGCAACCTTTCTCCTCTATTTATCTGTTAAATCATGAGAGGCGCGAACTCAATTATCTAAATTTTTTTCTACCAAGATCATTGTCAATTGAAAAAAAATCTCTCTCCACGAAGAACACTATTTTTATTTTTGCATGTCTGATCATCATCTCCAACACACCAAATTCATCCTCAAATGTTAAATTAGGTATGTTTATTATTTCTTTTTCCAGTTACTTTTTACTATTGCTTGATAATTTCATCGCTTTTTCTTTCATCCATTTAAATATACAGGGTGGTTATTTTTAATGTAGTGGCTGTCATATTTGGACTATGATTTTGAAAACCAAAAAACTTGAAGACAGACTAAATTTTGGGACCAAATTAGCATAAGAAAAACTTAATTAATTTGTCGCCTTCATAATATTTTAATGTATCGATTTTTAAATCTGGACTATCTTTTAGGTTAACAAAAAAGTAAAAGTCGATCCTATACATAAATAGTTGCCTAATCATCTTATTTTCATACATAGGTTGTCGTCTTCTTCTCTTAAATTGGTGACAAGAATAGCTGTAAATTTATTTGTTTAATGTTGCAAGTTTAGAGGATAATCTTGTTGCGTTCATCATATTAATCGAATTGGATCACCCTTAATCAATTTGAACTTGTATTTTTTTTCCTTCAATATTGGTATTACTCATTACAAATATGTTTTAAATATCATATTATATATCATTTTGTATTGATTGATATGGGATATACGTGCAACATACGTGTCCAGATACTAGTAATTCATTAAAGATCAAAGGATTAATTGTATACCTCCAATCATGCGAGAGATTTAATTTTAATATACACTTCAATCAAATGATCTAATTGTTTCTATCTATCTTTTAATTTTAATATAGGTAAGAAAGATGAGAATATTGCAATTTGATTTACCACTTTTCAACCAAGAACAACGTAACAAAAATTTAAGTTATATACATTAATAGTGTAAACATATTTTATATGTTGGAATCAGCAGAATAATACTGAATATGGTGTATTAGTAATGTGGGGTTAGTAATGCTAGGATTATTTCTTATTCACTGTTAGTACTGAATATGGTGTATTAGTAATGTGGGATTAGTAATGCTAGGATTATTTCTTATTCACCGTTTGGTTTGGTGTATTAAAAATAACATACATTGCATGAGGGTGTATACATGCTTATCTATGTATTAAAAATTATGGTATTACTAATGCCATGGTTTGCTATATATTTCTTATACATAGGATAATACCAAATAGAGTGTATAACTAATACATGTATTAATTATACATGTTTAACCAAAAAGTGGAATTTCGGTCAAAGCTTTATTTTAGAAGAACTCGGGTTACTGATAATCAAAAAATGAATAAAGGAAATTGATTTTGCTAACAATAAGATGAACAGAAGAAAACAAAGTAAATCAGTATATTCCGATGATAATTTGTGTCCTTACAAATGATCAGTCTTCTCCTTTTTATAGCTATTTCTAAGATATACGTTTTGCCTTTGTCATAATAAGGTCATTATAGACAATTAAAGGCATTTAATGCTACGTTACAATGACAGTCATTATAATTCAATACAAATTTTCTAACGTTTTCAGTATTTAATGCTTATTAAATACTGTATTCATACTCTCTTGTGCTGTCAGATTCATTCTCCTTAATTTTTGGACTTAAATAGGTACGAGCGCCGAGTCTTTTGATTATCTGCTCGTGTCTCTGCTCGTGCCTCTGCTCGTATCTGTTGCAACTCGTGCCTCTTTGCTAATTATCATTCTTTGACCAGTCTTCGTGTCATGACATGTCATCTTTCAATTACTTCAATATATATAAACTCAATTTTTTCCAATACAGATAGTCCCCCCACTTGCCATTTATTCGTTAATTGAATATTTGGGAAGTGAATTTTATTAAAGCGGGAATATTTGCCGCCATTAATTCTCTTATGGAATCGACGCTTTATTTGTCACTTCCATTTAATGCCTATTACACGTGGCATCTTTTTATTGGTTCTGCGATTTTGCAGCGTCTTTTGAGGCTTTTTTACGGCTTCACCAATTACGAACCAATTACGAAGCGACAGTTCTCATTATGACCTTTCCATCATTGCACCTTTTCCTTTGACGGTTGCTTCTTAGTATAAATATAGTTTTCACCTTTGTCTTTCTCACATAAAATTCTCAGAATATTCAATTCTTGTTTGTTTCTTCCTCGTAGTATCATGTCTTCATCAAACCCTAACCCTAGAAGAGTTCCCATAGTTGATAACTTTCCTCTTGCCCCTAGTAGGAGCAGAAGAGGAGGTAGACTACGTAATTTAGGATCTCCATCCATACGTGGTTCTTCTCTTCCTTCATCTAGTTCCAGTCCTTCTTCTAGAACCAGAGGTTCTCTTTCTCAAAGGTCTTCTTCTAGAGGTAAGGAACCCTCTGAACCTCTTCGTGAACCTTCAGTAGAGGAAACAGTTCCTGTGGAACTATCTTTCTACAATGATAGAGAGTCCCTTAGAAACCAAGTGTCCTCTTTAATCGTGCTGATATCTACCCAACTTAGATCATTGAAGGTCTGATTTCTTTAGTTCGTAAAGACTGTCATTGGAGTCATGACTTCCCTATTATAATTCCCAATGCGAATCAAAGAATCACCTCCTATTTAATTGGGTTTTCTTTTGTTTATACATACCCTTTCACATTAGGCTTCAAACCTGCTATTGATCCTATTATCCTCGAATTCTGTCGTTTTTTCGACGTCTGTTTAGGTCAAATTGGCCCTATAGTGTGGAGGGCTATTGCTTGTTTGAGGCTTTTGACCAATATGGCCGGCGTGCCTTTTACTTTCTCTCATTTAATTCATCTTTACTCTCCCAGACTCTCTCGCCAAGGTGTTTTTACTTTAGTAGCAAGGAGCAAAAGAGTTCTGGTTAGTCCAGAAGATGACAGAGACCGTAGCTGGTATGCCAGGTTTGTTGCTGCCCCCACTGTTGGTTTAGTGGGTGATGAAAATGTTCCCTTCCCTGAGAAGTGGAATTTTGCACGTGAGTTTTCTTTTTAATAACTTTCTCGTACCTTTTTTCTTTAATTTTGATGATCATTATCTTAATTTTCCTTTTCTTTTCCAGCAACCATGGGAGTTGTTGATGAAATTTTCAATTTCCGTGGTTGGGTAGGAAAGTTGTTAAATACAACCCCAATGGAGGGTAGATCTTGGAAAACTCTCTCCCAACGATTTGGTTGGAAAGTGAAAACTCATGGTAAGAGTTTTTTTTTTTATAATTTTTTTTATTACTTTTTCCAGAACTTATTTTAATCCTTCTTTTTATCAGGATTTGCCGTTCGAGGTATTAGTGCTGAGGCGGTC